ACGGAAAATATTCATCTGACCAAATGTTTGAAGCATTTGTTTGTGCATCGTTACTGAACAAACACACACACACACGCACACACACACTCACACTGTCGACCGAAATATGAATCCATGAATAATGACAACGAAGTTGCGAGAAAAAAAAAAACATACACACACATTTCTGTTTTCCTTGGCCCAACTAAATATATTAATACACTCATGTTTATTTTTTTCATTTGTATAACTTTTACTTTGAATATATATATAACCAATTTTTTTTCTCTGTCTCGGTGTACGAGTGGTGTGTGTGTGTTTTGGCAACAACAACGGTGTCGTCTTGGTTTGTCATGCACAATGCACTCCAAACACTTTGAGTGTGCCATCGAAAATGAACCGAAATGCAAACGTAAACATGGCAATTGAATGGTAAAAAGGACCTAGTTGAAAAGTTACAAATGTTCCAAACACACACACATACACAGAGAGCAAAAAAAACAGAATGCGAAAAAGAAGAAACAGCATTGTGCACATGGAGAATACACGAAAAACTAGCTAAGAAACAAATAATAATAAGAAGTCAAGTTAGTAAATGAATCTCAAGGGACTCGTTTCACAAACGATACTCACCTCCATTACAATCACATTCACACACGCACACTCACAGCTAAGTTGTTAGTCTTTATAGATGCTATTACTTTTATTGTGTATTCTTCGTCGTCTTTTTTTTAGCTTTTTTTCGTCTTCTTTTTCGGAATCTTTTTCACATTCAAGAGTGTGAAGAGTGAGCGTGGGTGAAGACCGAGTGAGAGAAAGCCAGAATGAGAGAGAAAGAGAGAAAAAAAAGAAAGAGAAAAAGAAAGAGAGGGAATGGACAAGAAACCTACTCCAACCGAACGCTGAATTAGCACGACCTCACATTTCATACGATGATATGATTTGTCTGAATAAAACATCATCGACGGTCTTTTTTTCTCACCTTTTTATTACAAAATACATACTCGATATTGCAATGGAGCAATTTTTTCCGACCAAAACGTTTACTTTATTGAATATTTCTGTAGTTTTTCTTTTGCTTTGTTGCATTTGATTTTACTGTTGAAACTATAGTTGAAGTGGTTATAGTTCGGAAGTTTCGAATCGGAGCATGATTGCTTTTGTGTTCATTTTTCTCGAAAATTAACTTTTCGGTCACTCAACTTTCCCGATCTGGATCAAAATTTACGAAAACTACCAATGGAAAACCAAGGAAAAGCTACAACCAAAGCTCAGTTAGTTGGTTTTATGCAGAGAATATGTGACCATCCATTTCTAGAGGAGAGAACACATTTTGATGGAGGAAAGAAGATAAAAATAGTTCTGAAAAAAAGAAATTCTTCTGCAAATGAATCAAAGGAAGATATTCGTGTTCATCATTTCAAATGACTTATACTGTTGCAAATGAAAAGTCATTCATTCTCATATACGTTCATTCATACACCTGAAATTTGTGTGCTATTTTGTGCATTGCGTTTTCCATTTTTGCTTCATCTCTCTCTCTCGCTCGCTCATTTTTCTTAAATTGCTTCGGCAATGTAGACGGCATCTTAATTTTCAAGTTGTTGCATATCTTATTTATATCTAAAAGAATGGCTATTAATTTTTCGGTCGAACGTAAAATGTTCAAAGTTATGGTTGAGTTTTTCACGCGTTGTGAATGTACGGTACGCGCTCTTGCGTTCTGTTCGGCGACTATTATTGCTGTTTCAACTTTTTGTGCATGTAACGCTGCTGTTTTTACCTGTGTTACATTTTCGCGCCCTTACAATAAGCCTTTTCGCACTTGACGATGTGAAATTGTTGTGTGGCACTCTCACATCTCTCCTTGGTTTTTCCTTTCCTTTTACTCTGTCTCCTCCCGCCCCATCCACTTATTCCGTTCGCGCCTTTGTATTCACACCGTCAATTTTACCAAATGCTTGGCACCGCGTACTCGCGGTGTCCTATTATGTTTCGGTCGTTATACGCGCGTTATACTCTCGCTACTGACAAAAAGTTTTTCTTATTTTTATTTACTCATAAAATATAATCACTGTCGATTAAGCCTATCAAGCGTTTGAAATCAAAATTGCGTTGGATGTAAATTAGAAAATAAATGCCGTACGCCTTCCATTCACATCCCTTTTGCCATCTCTCGGTGTGTTTCAAGCGCACGGTATTGTGGTTGATTTCAAGTAGAGAGCTCAAGTTGTTCCTCACAGGTTCGTGCCACTTGGTTTTTTTTTCTCGCGGTGGCAACAACACAACGGTGGCGGCGTGGTGGTGGTGTTTTATAATAAATTTATACATTTTCGGGTGAAACTGCACCAAATCCATGACTACGCCACAAACATTTTAACCGCGTTAAATGGTTTTTAATTTTTCGTCGATTGAGGCAATTCAACGCACTCCCGTACGTGTACTTTTCGATGATATCCGTTTATTTGCGCACAACACGGGCTGTTGCCGCTGCTGCTGTGCTGCTGCTAAACAATTAAAAACGCAACCAACAAAACAATAACAAAATGATGGAAATCACACTTTTGAAACGGCAAAATTTTCCACCGTCGAATAATGACAATAAAAATTCACGAATGTTTTATTCGCCAGAATGTTCGGCGAATGGAGATAGCAACAGAAAACGAAACATAGGGATAACTTGAAGATGTCCAAAATCCAATGCTTTGTTCCTCTTAGGTTAAATAATAGCTGAAGAATAACTTGAACCAAAACATCATTTTGGAGCCACAGAAAGCTAATTTTTACTCAAATGTAAAGAGGTTTGTATGCTAAATGACCGGCACCGGTATAATGACCACGTGGCTGCTTTCACTGACCTCAACACTCTGGAAGTGTTTCTGAAGAAAAACGAATAATTGCAAGACGTACTCACAACAATGCAAAAAAAAATACTGACTGAACTATGTAATTGAGCAATAATACTACTACAGTCAATTCATTGGCCATCTACCGGTTGACAATGACTCCGAACCAAGACGACACTCACTCCAAACAGCATACGGCCGCAGGCGTCCTGACGCGACGTGATTTTTCAAGGCAATGAAGGCAATTATCATTACGTTTGACTCTCGCCAATCGATGCTCGCATCTCTAACTAAATATACAATGAAAATCGCATTTTTGATTCACCGATTTTCTTAATTTTGATTCGAAATGCTTAATTCGATGCTTAATTTTTTCTTATCATTTGAAATATTTTCATTTCAAATATTCACGTTTTTTTGTCATCTTCTTTGTTTCTCCTTTTAATTTTTTCGTTAGATTTTTGCATTTTTAGTTGGTTTCATTTTTTCCTTAATTCAAATGACGAAGGCACCAAAAAATTGATATTGAACGAAATGAAAGTACTTTTGAGCCAATACAGTGTTTATTCAGAATAAAAAAGAAGTAGAACTTGAGCAACTGCGAGAAAATGATAAAAAGCGAAAATCAAAACAAACAAAAAAAATTCAAAAATGTACAAATATTCTTGGTAGTTTCTTCTTTGTTCATTAGTTTTCATTTGGTCTTATTGTAAATATTTCAACCGTTTATTTATTTTGTTTCTCATCTTGGTCAGCAGCAAACGTATTCATTCCACTTCTATTTCTGATCTAGTGTTGTTTGTCCATTGTATCGTGTTTATTTCTTGATTGTTTCAACAGCTGAAAGACAATGAGAGACAAGAAAGTGTGTATTAATTGTACGATGTATATGACAATCGATTCAACAAATATGACATGTGTTCGAACGTTAGCCTTCCATTCGTATATTACAATGGTGATGCTAATAATTCCCAATATTGATCATGGTTTCAAGTTTGAACGCCAATTCATCGAAATATCAATGGCCATTTGTTCGTAGCAATACCAATTTTGTCATTTCATATTTACAATCCTATTTTCTTATTGCTTCGTTGTTTTGCCTAATGTGAAGCGTTCTTCGAAAACATTAAACGATTTGCATGTATTTGAAAAGCCATATCCTTAACAATAGACAATTCAGTTCCAAAAAAATGTGTCCGAATTGACAAATTCGGAGAGTTATAATCCGGCAATCACGTTGAAGCGTTATGAAATTCGCTTTTCAAAGCATCATAAATGTTGCTCGAAGCAGATCCAATTAAGGTTTTGTTTGGGTCATCGATTGAATTGAGCTGAAACAAAACAAAAAAAACATTCATTTTAAGGTGAATTGATGGGCAAAACGTTACGAAATGAGAATAAATTAGGAAACAAAATGAGAAAAAATTGTTCTTTTGTTCATTTGTTTATATCCATTTGTTTGTTTATGTTCGATGTGTTGATTGAATGAGGTAGTTGTTTCATTCGAAACAAATTCTATTGCATATTGTGTTAAATCGCACGAGTTGTCCAGGGTTTTGCTAATTTCGAACGCGAGACAAAGAGAAAAAAGAGCATCCTCAAGCACACTAATTGAATCGAAAACTAATTCGTATGAAATATAAAACCGAGCAATCTCACACGGAAAAAGAGAGTGAAGTAGCTTCGGTAAATCTGGGGCCCTGTCACGTCGTCACACCAAACTGTGTATATGTGTATACTGTATATTCTCATTTGAAACGAATTTTCATGAAATCCATTCGTTTTGCATATATTATTGTGTGTGTTATTTTATGGGTGATGTTGTTTTCTTTATTCTCTTTATAGAAATATTAAGTGAATTCGGCTGAAAGAAAACAGTGCTCAGAACTACACGATCCAAAGAAAACGCAAAGCTAAACCATTTCAACCGAAAATGCGTCGATTGAAACCGAAAAACACACAGAACGAAAGAGAAAAAACTCTCTTGCGAGCAAAACACAAAACACGCATATCAAGAAGAAGCAAATCTAACAGAAAAAAATGAATGCAAACAACAACAACAGAGTCATCGTCGACGAGGACGACGACGACGACGACGACGACGATGAAACAGAACGAACAAATCGTATTTTTTTTCTTCCTTTGATTCGATTTGAGCGCGCAAGGCGATGTTAGTTTCGGTGGGCCATGAAGCAAGAATGAGCGGGAATGAGCTCGTAGCCGCGCGCACAGCCATAGAAATAAACAGACTAAGAGAATAAAATTTAAATGTTGTTTTATTTTCATATATATTTATTTTTTGTTTTGTGTATTTCGTTTGTTGTTTTTGTTTTTTTTTATTCTCCTTCGGTTTTTGTTTGTTTTTGGTATTTGTTTGTTACCTATGGGTTGTTTATGAAAACAAAACTAGTGTGTGTATACAAATTATTTATATAAATAATAATGGGACTGGCAGTGTGTGTTTTGGTCTCGTCATCTCTCTCTCTCTCTCGCTCTCGCTCTCGCTCTCCGTCGCTCGGTTGTTCTCTCGGTTTTTGACGACGGTATTCACCGTGTGTCTTGGACTGTCGAGATGCGTGTCGGTTTTTTTTTCTTCGGGGAAATGTGAGCTGCTTCGCTGTTGCTGGCTGCCCTTGCAAGAAACATATATTCCGTCAATGTTTCTAAGAGCCAACGAATTGGTTTACCGTGGCTCAAACACACGGTTACGCTTTTTGTTTGCTCTTTATTTTTCATACCGATTACGATTGCGAGTGTGATGTATGTTTTGTTTTGTTTTGTGTGTTGTGTATGCATTCGGGCTTTTCTGTCGAATGTTATGCTGTTGTTATTTTTTGCTCAATTGCGCATTCGGCTCCTCTGCCCCATTCTCATTCCTCACTTGTTCTCTCACTCTCACACTCGCAGGCTCATTTCTCTCTCGCTCCCGCTCTGCGGCCTGGTCTTGGTGTGTTATTTCGTTGTTGTCGTCTTTTTTTTCATTGTTGTTGTTGTTGTTGTTGCTGCTGCTGCTTCCATTTGTGTTCCGTCGATTTCGTTGTTAGTTGTTTATTTTTTTTATTTTTGGTAATACAAACAAGCGATAATTGTTTATGTTTGCCATTGCCTGTGCATGCACTCTCTGCAGCTAACGACGAGCATTCCCGCTCACGTCTATTTAAGATTCGAACGTAAGGAAAAGACATACACACAAACCAACAGAATAATCAACAATAACAACAGCAACAACACCGACGACGATGTCGACGAAAAACATAACAAACCACATACAGCCATTAATTCATTCGCATTTCGATGTGATATTTTTATGCTCAAACCAAAGAAATCGTTTACACATCGTATATAACATATGCCGGGCCAGTGACATACACACCGACCAACCGTTTACTTATTATCAAACTCATTGAAAACCAAACCGAATCGACCAAAATCCACGAAAATGTATGTGTTGTACACCCGACAAGGGAGAGAGACAGAGAGAGAGAGAGAGAGAGAGAGAGAAGAGAAAAAAACACCTTTATTTACATTGAACATTCGTTGTCTATTGTGACGCGCTCGACGGACTCTTATTACTATTTCGAATTGGCGTTGATGAGCGTCGCAACATTTTTCTATTTTTTACTACGTGACAAATACGAATTTTTTTAATGAATTTTAACTCTTTTTTCATCGTTGTTTAGTTGACAGAAGCCAAAAAACCACTCGGTTTTTCGAAGCAAAATTCGAGAATGTGTGTAGATTCCAATGAAATCACTTCACATTTATTTAATGTAAACAAACGGCTTTTTGCCACCGGATTTATCCAAATGTACTTATGTGTGGCTCAATGTTTTTGAGGTTGCCGTGTCCGAAACTGATGTTGAAATTCAATTGAAAAAATTGGTAAAGAAATTTAATTTAGATTTTCGATGAAAATTGTGGCAATCATCTTATAAAACCTTATGGAAAACGTAAATTTTTCTTTAAAAATCGTTAAAAACAAATTCTTCACTCCACTGGAAAAAAAAAAAAAAAGGCATAATGTAAAAGCAACAATCAATTTACTCTCTCGAATCCGTGCGTCAAAACCCGGTAAATTACAACAAACGTGTAAAATGTGCCAATAAAAATCTCTTGGTTCCCTTGGTCGTTTTCGTATTCGACCGCCTCAAACCAAACCGTCGGTTGATTTTCTTCAACCGCATGAATTCGACTAGACATGTCGTCCTTTTGTGTGTGCGTGTATGTATTTGGGCACCTTAATTCAATCATTTAGACAGAATGTTTCTCTTTCACTCGCATCGATGTCGGTTTGGAATTGGCCTTTACGCGTCGCGCTATAATCGCATGTGTTCACTGTTCGTTGTTCTCTGTGTGTCGTCCGGATCGGTGTGTTGTCAATGTGTGTGCGATGTGGTAAATTTGTACGAATATGTCTCACTCACTCTCTGTCCTCTCTCTTCCATACACACACGAACACTATACGCTTTGAACTGCGTACATGCGGCCGATTTTTGTTCCATGCATTGGGTAGTATTTAAGTTTTCATATCGTATTATTCGTCGTGTTGATCTGTCGGTTGTAAGCCGCAAAGCGATTACCGTGGATATTTTTCATTTTTTTATTTCCAAAAATTTCGGTTCTGTTTCTGTTGTGCGTGCGTATGTGTATGGATTTTGGTGAAAGGAAAAAAAAAACCAAAGTTTTTCTGATTGTTATTTCTTGTGAAAAGCTTCCCGTTGTTATGATCAAAACCTGGTCGATCTTGCCGGTATCGAGCAGTGAACAGCGAGTGCAGTGTCTTTTTATGTGAAAGACATTCACAAGTGCAGCGATGGTTGATAGCGCGATTGAAGGGTAGCAAAGCATGAGAAACACATACAATTGAACAATTTTGCAAAAGCAGGCGGATTTTTCTGCAGTGTGTATAGTTTCAAGTGGGTCGATGTGAGTGAGTTAGTGAGTGAGTGAGTGTGTGTACATGAACAACATTTATATAAAACGTCGAGTAAAAAGCCCGAAAATTGAATCTTTCTTTTCGTCGATCCGCCTTATTCGTGTTTATTGCACATAAGTGAATGTGAAACGGTGCATCGGTTGTCTCTTTTCTTTGGGGGTTTTCTCATCAACTCGTGGTGGTGGTGTGGCGCGTGTATATGTCTCGGCATTCCTTGTTTGCATGCACATATCAACAGAGAGTGAAAAAGGGTGAGAGAGAGAGAGAGAGAGAGAGTTGTGCAATACTTTCGAGAGCACAACAACACGAATTTTCCACATTTTCCATCGCCTGCGACGACAACGACGACTTTTCAGTTGAAAACAAAAGAGAAAGGGCGTGCGCATCGTCACGAATTATTATTACTGTTATCTCAGAAAAAAAACAACAACCATTTTCCCTTGCACAAACTCGATTCTATAAATTAATAACAATAACGAGCAACAACCATAGCACATGCATGTTTTCGACGTGTAAATAGTATACATACAATTTTGGCTTGGTGTTTTTTTTTTCTTCCTCTGTGCAGTGCTTGCATTTCCGCACAACGTTTTCGTATTTTGAGCCAACAAATTATTGTTTTATAAACTTTTCAAAGGAAAAAAACTCGGATTTAGCGTCGTTAATCAAGTGCTTGTGTGTTTTAAGTGTCGAATTGAAAGCAAATTAAATCGGATTTTTGTCACAAAATCGGTGGCAACAAAAACACAACCAAAATTCTAGTGGGAAAAAAACCGAACGGTGCACATTTTATGGTCTCACACCTAAAGAAACGGTGGCAAAAAGTTGTGTTCACTCTCACTTCCCATTCGGTTGATAGAGAATTACATCAATCATTCAAGCAGAAGACACGCTCCAGCTTGTGTTAAAGCGAATTCAAGGTAAGAATCGATCATCTTTAAACATGAGTGTTTGAAATTGACGAATTGTATTCCCCGGCTGCCATTTATCATATATGTAGAAATAAAAAAACAATAAAAATTCCGAGAAAGAAAAACGCGGCGGCGGTGGCGTTGTCGATGTCATCTTTACTGTTATCGAAATTCGATGAATCGTTCCCGTTCACAGTTCACCGCACGTTTTTTTTCTTCTCTTCTGTTTTTGCATATGTTCTATAGATTTGGTGAAACAAATTTGTTTCCTTCTCTCGACAGTGTTCAAAAGTTAACGAGCGAGCACGAGAGAGCGCTTGCTCGTACTGGCGCGCGCTCATGTACGCACACACAACTGACTCCAAAAAGATGTTTGTTTTGATCGAAATGTAAACAACGGGCAAAAAAGCGGCGTGTATGGTTTTTTTTTCTTCTGAGCTAAACTTAGTTGCGCATGTGTTTAAGCGAGAGCGACCGCGAGAGGCAGAGAGAGAGAGAGCGAGAGCGCAGCAGTTAAATGCCTGAAAAGTGACGTAGATTACGGAACATTGTAACAATGTTTAAGAAAATATTCGAAGATTTTTCGAATTTTTCGGGGTTCGTTGGCTTTGCTAACAATTTTTTTTTTCTACTTTGCTGTCGATTTTTCAGGTCATGCTGATTTCTTCAAATTTCTTCTTTGAGGCAAAGAGCCTGCAGGCTCAAGTCATGACTTTATACTTTGATAAAATCCATAGTTTAATCAAATGTTTGCAATTTATTTTTGGCCGGCCTCACGTGAACGGGATAAACCATTCTGTAACACTTCATTTCTGAGTCGGTGTGTTTCATCGTGGTTCCATTGGATTGAATTAGTGTACAATTTGTGGCTTATCAGTTGTATACGACAATCAAGACTGATGATCATGTATTTCAATGCCAATGATAATTTCATTTTTTGTATCAAATTTCGGTCTCAACCGCAATATTCTCTTCTTTTTTTCCCCGATTGTTGTTTGTTATTGTTGTATATTTTTTCGGTGATATCTTGTTGACTTTTCTCTCGACGCATTTCTATTTATAATCGACAAACAGCCGAGAAAAAAAAAGTGTATTATGATGAGTCACTCTTAATTATGATATGTTACACTCTAGGTTACACTAAATTACATGCCAAGTCAAGCGATAATTGTCAATTGTTCCGTGCACAAGTTGTTGTTGTGCTGGATCGGCGGCATTATTATTATTTATTGACAAGGGAAAAAAGAGTGCCGAAATGAATTTGATAATTGCGGATTTATTTTTAGAGAGTAATCACCCATTACTTTATTCGCCCATTCTATGCAATTTCTGTTTTATTCCATTTGTTTGTTTCGCGTCAAAATTCAGAGCAAGCTACGCGGGCCTAGAAGAGCGAAAAAGAGAGAGAGAGAGAGAGAGAGAGAGAGAGAAGTTATTTGTAAACAAGCGCGCGGGCGCACAGCAAACGCAAACCGATACTTGCGAAATGTAATGTGTATAGTTTGTTGTTTATTTTTCTTATGAAAACAATTTTGTTTATTATTTTAACACATTTGCCTTTGGAAATGATTCGTTGTCCCGCGTGCCTGTGCGCACTTCTCGTCTCCCGTTCATTTGGTTTCGCTTACGTTTTGGCATTCGTTCTTCTTTTTCTCCGTTTCTCTCTGTCTTTCACACTTTCTCTCTTCCCCTCGTCCTCTTGCTCGTTTGAACATATTGAATATTTTTTGTGTGTAAGCAAATAGAAACATGCGATAATTTTGCACAAAACTTTATCGGGTTGCTATCCAATTAAGAGGCGATTGTGTGCTAGAGTCTGACGCAGATGCTGTTCGACACTGCCAATGTATGTGAAATTTTGGTGCAGTACACAACATGACGGTGTCACTGAACGCTTGATCATAAAACTGCCATCCAATTAATCCCATGCCAAAGTGATTGCGGAAAAACTTCGTGACAACTAGCGACCAACAAAAAAAACACTCACACGAAACGAGTCTTAGTGTCTGATGTTCAAGTGCCGAATCATATGCAAAGTGCTTTTACTGTTTAATTGTTTTATTTGGCTTTTGTTTTTTCTCTCTCTCCCTCCGTTGTTGCTTTCAACTGTCGTTTTAACTCCATTGGACCGTTTGTTTACATTTCTGTGTATAGTTGCACAAATACCAGAGACAAAGTCACACAATCGCTCTGTGTGTGTCACCCGCAAAACGAATTTACAACCAACTGCTTAGAAGTTAAAGAGAAAAAAAAAGAGTTGACAAATAAACAAACAGATGAATTAAGAGAATGAGAGAGTAAAACGAGGCAAATTTCATGTGCGTGCAATGCAAAGAGCAAACAGAGAAGAAGATGCCAGAGTCGATTTGAAAGCGTTAAAATTATATAATAATAATTCGAAATATCGACACATTTGTCAATATTGGACAGTGTTTCCTCATCGAAATGCAAATGGGCAGTTGTAATGGCAAAATCGCACCTCGTTCCAACATTTTCGAAATTCTCTCTCATTCTTTCACTTCGATCTCTTTTAATCTCTGGGTTTCGGTCTCCATTTGCCTCTTTTTCTCTCGGTTTTTCGCTTTTCTTCTTGTTCTCTCGCTCGATTCTTCCCACACTTTTCCACCCAAAAAGCAACAGAATTTACCGATGCAGAACGAAAGAATAATGCTTACGCAAACGTATTGCAAACAAAATTATTGGTAAATAAACATCCAAACCAAGAGAACAAATAAACACCTAGAAACAGCACACACACACACACACAACAAAAGCACTAAGTCGAAAGCGAAAACAAAACGCCGAAAATTTCGGCTCGAGTGCAAAATAAATAAAACCCAAAAACCAAAAGGGAACAACATTGAAGTCGTGTATGTTCCTGTGTATGTGTGTATGTGTATTTGCAACAAAAAGCCAGCTCTCGACCATGCCACGGCTATCACCGGTGCCAAATACCGACACAAACACAACGTTTCAATGTGAATTATTTTACTCGTCTATTGCGCAATTGAACCCGTCCATTCGAAACAACAATCGCCTGAAATGTTAGTGACTAACATAAACAAATAAACAACACCGTTCGGATGCCAACCACTAAAAATGATCGCAACAAAATGCCATTTTCCGATACAAACACACATAAAGAGAGAGAGAGAGAGAGAGAGAGAGAGAGAGAGAGAAAGAGCGCAATACACTCACACCGACAAATTTCATCAAAAACCACTTCAATCTATCGAATGCCAAAAACCTTTCAATTCGTTTATTTTATCGCCTTTGCTCGGCATCTCATTTTATTGACTTAGCCAAACAAATAGCAAATAAATTACAACGATACCGTCGTCCCCATCCGACTACATTTCGCCACGTCTCAACACATTTTGCAATTATTATTCTATACATTTTTCAACTATTAATTTAAAAAAATTTAATGCCTTCGAATATCGACTGACATCCGTGTCAGATATATGACTTTTTTTCTGAAGGAACTCCGTAGATTGTGTATCGATTCATATTCTAATGGAATATGTTTTGCAAGTGATGCAACATTGGAAGTCTCTGAAATTTTTTAGTTCGATTTTTTTCTTGTTTTGCATTCAAATTCACACCAAAATCGTTCATAGAAATGCCGCCATCAGGGTAGATTTTCCTTGAAAGGAGTATTTGAAGACGAGTTCCAATTTGAAAACCATCTCAAATTTGATTGAAAAATTGCAAATATGAATTATCGACAATAGAAAAGTATAGTCGATTTTCGTCAATTCGAATCCGTTGGCGAATCAACTCATTCGAAATATCGAAATTTCGAACTATAGAATGTCGATGCTACAGTTGATCGACTGTAATTCCAATTAAAAATATAAATTAAAATGAAATCCATTTTCTGGGAACGTATGCAATCCTAGTCGATTGCACTACGTGACGTTATTTCATCTTCGACTTCCAATGCTTTTCTTCAGTGTGTGGAAAAATAGTCGATTTTTCAGAACAATGAGATCAAAAAGATTTATAAGATCATTGTATCATTGATGCCAGGAAGTAGAATCGACATCGATTTTAAAACGTGATGATCTGATGATAATCATTCCCGTGTGCAAATAAAATGACTAACACTCACTCAGTTGTATGTAACTGTATGTAGTGATAGACAACTAAAACTGGCTAAGTTGATTGAAATCATGCGTTTTGTATGGAGACAATCACGTTTAGTTATTCTTTCAGTCAGTCGACTAATTTGGGACATTTTGACTAAGAGTGATTTATGATTAAAGTTAACTGCAGTTGCTTATTTTGTTCGAGACAATCACTTTTAGTCAGTCAAAATGTCCCAAATTAATCGACTAGTCAGTCAAAAAAAAAATTCCACACGGGTTCTTGGATCATGTAAAAAAAAATGCTTGAATAAAATATTAATGCTTTTTTCCCAAGAAAATGAACATATACCTACAATGAGTGTAATACACTCAGTGTATTAACCACTAATTTGACCATACACTGGAAATTAATGTAAATTTTCTGCTGTCGTGTACAAATTTCAGCTCGAGGTCGTTCGATGTAAACATCATCAACAACAACAGCAAAATATATAGGACGATGTTTTGTTTACCACACCAAGTTCAGAAGAGAGAGAGAGATAGAGAGAGAATAAAAAATGAATCATCGCTTGCATTTATTCGTTTCGGTTTCGTTCAGTTGGAAATGATTCACATGCAAGCACGAAAACATTTCATTTGAATAAATCACCATTATCTGTTTACGATTACGAGTGATTCTTGGTTGTGTGTGAGTGCAAAAAGGCAGCAAAATAAAAGCCACAGCGCATCCGAAGGAGGAAAAAAAACGGCACAAGAGAGAAGAGCGTGGCGCACACAATATCAAAAGGGAATATATTAAGATAAAAGCCAAACAGAGAAAAGGGAGATTAACTTAGGAGGAAAAACGGCATTGCAAAAAAGCAAGGCACCGCACATAAATATGGAAAATTCGATGGTTGCACACAAAAGAAACATACA